AATTTCAACCAAAGAATCAGGAACTACATGAGCACTGAGCTATCTATAACAATAGATCAAAAATGTTATACCAACAAAATCGTGAAAACATCCCCAGCCAACTCGGAAATTACGAGAGCATATGTCATATAATTAATATAACTAACAATAACAGTGAAAATATATTCATACTAACAGTAAAGCTCGGATTTGCAGGAGCTGCATGGGTCATTAATTTACGTAGAGATTTTTATTCGAACTTCTTATGAAAAAAGAGCTCAAAAGAAAAACTTCAATTGGATGCACCTACAAGCTCTAAAAGTAGTCTGATAATAGTGATTGTAGCAAATCTTAGAAGCAAATTAAACAAAACTAATGGTATAATAACTTACTTATTCAACGAGAAGGATTAAGCCCTAGAAGCATTTGGCTGCCACTGTTTGGAAGGTACATGATACTGTTGCTCCTGGCCAATGTTGAAGAAATCTCCCTGGATGCCTCGATTCTCCTAAGCTCGATCAATCCCATACCAGCAGCAGCTGTCGCATCAGAAATCAGCTTGGCGGATTCACTTTCTCCTTCCGCCCTGATAATGGCAGCCCTCCGCTCCTGCTCCGCCTTAGCGACAACAAACTTTGATCTTTCAGCCTCTTGCTGCGCCACTTGCTTCTGCTCCACGGCCTTGGAGAACTCGGCGCCATACGATAAGTGAGTAATCGCAACGTCATCAAGCACGATGTTAAAATCCTTAGCTCTGCGGATTAAAGTATCACGAACCAAAGCCGAAACGCGCGGACGTTCGGTGAGAAGCTGATCGGCGTTAAATTGAGCAACAACAGCCTTCAAAACTTCGTTTCCGATCGACGGAAGAACCTTCTCGTCGTATTCAAGACCTAATGTCTTAAAAATAGCGGGCAACCGGTTTACGTCGGGGCGAGATAGCACCCGAAGAGTTAGGTTAACCATCTGTAGATCCTTGGTACCAGAGATCGAAGAGAAAGTGTGGGGCCTCGTACGAATATCAAATATGTAGGGTGTCTGGAGCCATGGAATGAGGAAATGAGTGCCTTCACCGGCGGTGTCGTCAATGACTCCACGGAAACGATCGAAAAGTACGGCACGTTGGCCTCCGTCGACGGTATATAGGGATGAATTCACAACCGTGACGGCAGTGCCGAGGCCAAAGGCCGCACGTACTATATTAGTGAGGAAGGAGACTGCAGCTTGATTGCTCCCCATCTTGACTGAGCAAAAGAGAACAACTAACGTAGTAACGATGACGAGGGGAGAGGGTTTTAGTTGTGTGCTTGGGTTGCTGTGGGCGCTTCTTATTTGTATATATGGGTTAAATAAAGTACATTTCATAGTGGCCCATTTCATTTGTATAAGTCCAAGACCATGGAGGCAAAAGGCGAAGAGGCCGTTTTATCAAGAAAACTAGATAATGTTCGGAATTTGGCCCTTTAATTTATATTTTACTGCGGACGAAATCTCAATAGCGACGTCGTTTAGGTTACAGGTGTATGACAAAATGCCCAGAATAGAGACTACTCAATGATGCACCTATGGTGGCATAGTTCTATAGACTACATAAGCCAGGTTGGAGAACTTGCCAAAAAGAATAATTAAAGCTTCATATAAATGGGGCTTGTACCTTTAATGCATCTGTTGTGAGTTAAATAAACCCTTTTCAACCTTCTTCATTTTCCATCCATTAATTTTCAAGAATTTTTTTTTCAGGCTTTTGGAGTCCATGTTCACCATGATGTATATCAGATTAGAGCATCCCATATACCACCTAGGAAACTGGTTTATTGAGCACAAGGAATTAAAACCAAGATAACTATTAAATGGGAAAGCCTCGTTTCCTTTACTTTCCGTATTAAGTTGAGTTTTTTTTTTTTTTTTTTTTTTTTTTTTTTTTTTTTTTTTTTTGAAGTCAAAAAGAAACTCATGTGTATAGCTAACCGGATTGACCAAAGGGTAAAATGGTCATTTATTCATATTTTAGATAGTTTATTAGTTCAATAAGGAAACACCCTGTATAGTTTATAGTTTACTCGATTAAATGACCATTTAATCAAAGGGTAAAACGTTATTACTTGTATTCAGTCAAAAACAAAAGATTTTATGCATAAAACACTTTATCTTAGAGAAGAAAAAGAAACATGCCCTATGTTTTGACTTCAAGGTCTATAATGTTTTGAATTCTCAAGAAACTTGTAATAGCTCAATTGAACCTTTTTTTTTTTTTTTTTTTTTGCTAAAACTGTGAAAATATTGTGTTAAGTTTGTAGAATATTCGTATTTAGTTTTACCACCTTTCAGTTAAGATAATTCACTCTGAGGTCTTGAGGATTACCATATTTGGGATATGGGCAAAATCGTCCAACGATGTTAAAAAACATCAAACTTATGTGTAGATAACACAACACTAACCAAAATGATAGCATACTTTCTTTCTTAACCTTTAATTGCAGATAAGTTTCGTTTTGAACCCAAATGACAACTTACTTTCATTATTAACCCAAAATTGCAGAAAAGTTTCATTTTTTTTCACAAAATACCATCACATTTCCTGTTTTTCTCAAAATCCTATCAGATTTTTGTTTTTTTTCTCAAAATACCATTGTACTTCCGTTTTTTTATTACAAAATAGCCTCATAATTTCGTTTTATCACAAAATACCCTCATAATTTTGTTTTTTTTCATAAAATACCATCATACTTCTGTTTTTTTTTTCACAAAATACCCTCATAATTTTGTTTTTTTTTTCATAAAATACCATCATACTTCTATTTTTTTCACAAAATACCCTCATAATTTTGTTTTTTTTTTTTTTCATAAAATACCATCTACTGTTTTTTTTTCACAAAATACCCTCATAATTTCGGGTTTTCACAAAATACCCTCATATTTTGTTTTTTTTTATTCATAAAATACGATCATACTTCTGTTTTTTTTTTTCACAGAATACCCTCATAACTTCGTTTTTTTTTTTCACAAAATACCCTAATAATTTCGTTTTTTTTTCACAAAATATCCTCATAATTTTGTTTTTTTTTTTCATAAAATACCATCGTACTTTTGTTTTTCTCACAAAATACCCTAATAATTTTGTTTTTTTTTTCATAAAATACCATCGTACTTCAGTTTTTTTCACAAAATACCCTCATAATTTCGTTTTTTCACAAAATACCTTCATAATTTTTTTTTTTTCATAAAATACTATCGTACTTATGTTTTATCACAAAATACCCTCATAATTTCGTTTTTTTTACAAAATACCTTCATAATTTTGTTTTTTTTTTTTCATAAAATACCATCATAAACAATCAACAAATTTCATTCTAAAATATTAAAATTGTTACAAAAGCATCAAAAACTTCTAAATTATCCATACACCGTTTGTGTCTAAAACATGAAAAATGTGAAGTTAACCAAAAAAAATGTCATGAAGCATCTAGTTTTTCTTTTGCTCATAGAAACAACACATCTCATCATTATGTTTCTTGCAACGATTCATCCGCTTGATACATGAAAAATATAAAAAATTGTTAATATGATTATTAGAGTTCTCAATCATGAATATTAAATTATTATTATAATTACCTTTCTTTTTGAACAACTAGTAGCATAACACCTAATCCTTGACAATAAGAGCATGTTCGTTTTTTGGGGGCTTCTAAAGAAGACTTGATTCTACTTGCAAGTTTAGGATGCCCTTTTGTGGTAGTTGGACCAACAGGATCGCAGACAGATAATTATGGCATCATATCTATTTGTGAAACTCCCATACAAGAACCTTGAGATGCATTCTCCAAAGACATATATTTCTTTCGATTTGTTTGATCATCTAAAAGACTTATCAATAGCGTATTGACTTTTTGTATCTCTAAAGGGGAGTCTCTAGCTTGTTCAATTAGTTTGGTAAAATTTGAACAGACACACCATAGTGTGTAGGGACTAACTCCATTTTCATTATTCATTTCTCCGAGTCCGATACTAGCACTACCTAGTTTGTACCTAACATTAAGGGTCCATCGTGGTAAAATATAGTGACTCGGGAGTTCTTTAACATGCTTCTTCTTCATCACATATAGGTTATGTTTACGTAAAATCCCATTTGTCTCATACTTAGCACAGGAACATGTGACGCTGACATGATCCAAAGAACAAAAGGTAACAATGCGTCAATATTTTTTATCAACATCTAATTGCCCAACTCGGTATGTGATTTCCTTTGTAGTTTTTCTTATAGTCTCATGAGTCAAATTGGTAATAGCTTCGGTCCATTCTTTTTTGAAAGTATCAAACATCTTTCTGGTATAACATTGACATGCTTTTGCTGCGATTAGATGCACTGAAGAAAGAACTGGCCTCGAGTTCATAGTCTTGAAGTCTTCATCTTCTTCGACGGCCCTTCGAGACTCAACTGCTTTGTCATATTGTACAACAAATTCATTCAACATGGTCCTCGAATTAACTAATCCATCAAAAAATGAATTAATGCTCTCACTTCGTCCGGTTGTTGTCATACCAGCAAAGAAAGTATCATTCAAGAAGGGTTTAGCCCAATGTATACGTTGGTTATACATGTCACTAATCCAACAGTTGCTTTCCAGTTCATACTTAGTACGCATAACCTCCCATGTTGCTTCAAATTGTTCAATGGTGTCACTATTTACCCATTGTTTGTGCGTTTCTTGAAAATCACTAGTATTGTTCAAGAATGGTTTAGCCCAATGTATACGTTGGTTATACATGTCACTAATCCAACAATTGCTTTCCAGTTCATACTTAGTACGCATAACCTCCCATGTTGCTTCAAATTGTTCAATGGTGTTACTATTTACCCATTGTTTGTGCGTTTCTTGAAAATCACTGTAACGGGAAACATACGATCGAAGGTGCTCAGTTTCATGTTTCATGATATGCCATGAACAAAAACGATGTCAAGTCTTTGGAAACACCTTTTTTATTGCATTTCCCATTGCTTTGTCTTGATCAGTAATAATTTTCTACGGATACTTGCCAAACATACATTTGAGGAAATGTTCAAATAACCATTCAAATGTCTCTTCCTTTTCGTTTTCAAGCAATGCTCCACCAAAAAGTATAGACTGTCCATGATGATTCACCCCAGTCTTGAATTTGTTAGTCATATAAGTGACATCAAACACAACATCTCTAGATTTTGTATAGGCATCTCTTGATCTACCATTAGCCCAAAAGATATTTCTAGGATACCCATCATCAGACAAATCCACGACAAAAAACTGGTCACTGTCAACTAATGTTTTATCTTGAAAATGTTTTATAGGTCCATAGAACTCCTTTCTTCTATGTTGTTTTCGATGCTCAGATAAGACATCAACACATTGCTTTGAAGTTACATCAGCTATATTTGCGGTTTTCATTGTATTAAAAGCCTTTTTAATCTGAGAGGGTTTCAACCCTGCTTGACCAAATTGCACCATAAGAGATTTACCTTCTATTGAACGGTGGAAATTGCTATGAGATCGATGTTTCATAACCTTCGTAGGTGTCATGGTCAAGTTGTGATTGTGTGTGTCATTAAACGAGTCTACCAACCATTTCCCATCCTCCTGTCTTGTTATTCGAAGCTTTGCTTGACATCCGGTTCTAACATCTCTACAACGTTTTTTCTCATTTTCACTTGAACCATTTTTATCCATCTATTTGAAACCTTCTTTGTTGCATACATATTCCAAAAAGGCTCATTTGTTTTAGGATTTTTAATTATGTCATTTCTACGTATACCAAATCCATGCAAAAATGAATAATCTTTATAAAATGTATAGGCATCATAGGGTGTATCAAAAACCTTTCCCAATATCCTTTCATCATTAACATCATTAAAATCATCTTCATCACCAATACTGTTTATTGTTTCACGTTCAGATGTTGCTTCCACGTAATCATTTGTGTCAATATCTTCAGTTATATATGGTTCTATAGCTTGATTACTTGCTTCGGCTTCACTCATTATGGCCTGCAATAGACAACCATGCACATTTACAAATAAAATATTGACACAAAATTGATTTATATTGAGATAATGGAAACATTATACATAAAAAAACACAATAACAGCCAATGGCAATGTCTAAAAACAACAATGTCACTTTTAAAAGCCACGAACAAATAAATATTCATAAGGTAATAAAGAACACAGAGGATTTGTAGTTTTTTATAGCATCATACTTTCGTTTAAATCACATAGTGGCAGCCAAGTTCAAACAATTCTTAAAAAAAATCATTCACTAAAATAAATTACAACCGATTCCAATTGATATTAAGAAATCTAAACTTTGAAACTTCACAGTTAGTTCATATTACTGATATTTACTAGTCAGATACACATAACATAGGCCATAACACAAGATCAATGACCTACTTGGAAGTGCTTTGGAAAGATAAAACAGGATCGCTGCGATTTGTACTTTTTGAAGTTCTGATCAAACCCAATTCGTTATGAGTTGTGATTTTTAATACTCCCTTAATTGAATTCCAATTTGAATGAAATCGTTATTGGCGAATTTTGAAATTGCAGAATTTTTTTGTAGTTTTTGAAATCGAATTCTATGAAATCATTTTCTCCCTTGAATGTTAAATCGTTAATTTTTTCTCTGAATTTTTGTGGGTGATAAGCTGCCGATCATCAAGCGATCAAGGAGAACACGATTTGATGTCGTTTTTTCTTTTGAATGTTAATCGTTATTTATTTCTTTGAATTCAATTACTCTGAATTTTTGTTTTGTGATAAGCAGCCGATCTGCAAGCGATCAAGGAGGACGTGATTTGATGTTATCATAGTTGAGTCAAATTAGGAACGTAGCCCTTTGTTTATGGTAATTGTATTTTTTTTTTCTTTCAGAAAATCAATCTAATAATTGAAACTACGTAGTTTTGTACATAGGGTAGCTAAACTTATATACCCTTAAGGGTATATTCACTTTTCCATATATATATATATATATATATATATATATATATATATATATATATATATATATATATATATATATATATATATATATACTAGCCGAATCTTCGAGCGTTGCGCGTGAATACAATTATACAGTTAAAATAATAATTTTTAACAAATTATTATTTAATATTTCTAATTTGAAAAAAAATCTTAATAGTAAAGCAAACATATAGTTAACATATTAGTTTTATTACACATTATAGTTTTAATATTTAAGTCACTGTGATATAAACATTATTTGATAATTTTATAAACCATTTAAAATTGTGTAAATTATATATCAAACGTATGATAATCTATATATAACGGGTAACAAATGTATGAACAAAAATATGAACTACAACTTTTAGTAACATAAAAATACAAAAACATCTATTATAACATTTGTATTAAAAAAGATATATATACAACGAATAATAAAAAATATAAAAAATAAACACTACAATTTTTAATAACATAAAAACACTAAAACATCTATTATAACATTTATATTAATTCTTCATATTTAAATAACAAATTTCTTCAAATACATTAATGTTTTTAATGAGCAAAACTTTACAACCTTATAAAAGAAAGAAAAATAAAATGTTATTAGTGATTACTGATTAATAATCATAAGTTAAAAACTCTTGAGTTGTAACTAATAAATATAAATAAATTAGAAACTATTGAGTTGTAGTGTGAGTTTCAAATGAATGCACTACTTGGTATTTATTATTATTATTATTATTATTATTATTATTATTATTATTATTATATTCATCTTAATAATTTGTTTTGATGCATCATTTTAATCCCTTCAATTATTAAACATGAAGATAATTATAAATTTATAACATACATAGGTGCACATATATGTTAAACAAATCACATATAATATATATTTTTGTAACATATGTAATTCTTGTCGTATTAATATGAATAAATTACTTTCATTTGAAGAACATATAATGATAAGTCAATCACAATTACAAATCAAATGTTAAAAAGTATGTTATCTTTTAAACATTTTCTTGTAGGTATGTTATGTAGAATAGCCCAATAAAAAATAATAGAAAATAAACATAATCAAAATAGAAAAGATTACAATCAAATAAATTAGAACATCGGGTGGTTGAATATATAAATAAAAATCTTACATAAATATACATTTAAATCAAAAGAAAAAACAAACATTCGTCTACTGTGCTCAAACAAAAAAATCTATATCAGTTTTCTGAATCTTCTTTTTTCATGTAATGTCATTCAACCATTAAAACTTGATGATAATTCTTCACTAACTTGCAATCAAAATGTTTTTCTTGAAAAAGAAGAATAATAAAGATATTCCAAGCAAAACATTGATGTTTGGAAAGTCACATTCAAGATTGAGTAATACATACAAATAACATATAAAGATCAAACGAGTATCTGTATTTAAAGAATGAATAGAAAAGTTTCATTTGTTTTGGTTGAAAAAAAAACCACATTACAAGAAAAACATTGATGTTTGGATCGTGAATGGTTCAACTATATGAAAACTTTTGAATCACAATATCTTCAACCAAATGATGACTTTTTGTAAGAAAAATATACTAATATAACTACATATATAATAAGAGAATGCAAAACATTATTGAAAATTTATAAATATCCTAAATGCATATCCATGATTTTTAGTTAATTATTGCTTTGAAGAAACACAAACATAGAAACATATACACAATATTTAATTAAATATTATCTATATCATTTTTCATAACATATTATCGATAGAATGAATATAATCTAATTTACATGAAAGTTTCAACCACAACATACAATGATTGTTTTAAAATGAATACTTAAACCAATAAAAATATAAAAAAATAGTATATAATAAACTTACAAATTAAAAACTTTAACATATCTAATTAAATATTATCCACATCATAATATATAACATATAATCCATAACCTTTATATGATCTAATATATATATATATATATATATATATATATATATATATATATATATATATATATATATGATTAAAGCACAACATACAACAATTGTATTAAAAGAATCCAAAACCAAGAAAAACATAAAAAATAATTAGTATATAACAAACTTACAAATAAAAGTTATACATAATAATATATCTTGAAAAGTAGTCATAAAACCTCAAACCAACTCAAAAACCTATACGCTTGTTTTCTTTACAAAGTTTGTATGTGACTTGTATGCATCTCTAACCAAAAGATTGATCTTTTTATAGCAGACGTTTCATTAAGTGCTTATTAAATATAATATAAGTTATAAAACCTTTAAGTGTTAAATCATTATTAAGAAGACTTTTGAGATGTATTAGTTAAAAGATGAGGGTTTCAAATGAATGTGGTTTGAGCAAAAATGCTTATATATAGTCTTGGGAGTTTCAAATGCATGAGGTTCAAGAAAATATGCTAGCTTTATAAGTATGTATGACGATTAAAGCACAACATACAACAATTGTATTAAAAGAATCCAAAACCAAGAAAACATAAAAATAATTAGTATATAACAAACTTACAAATTAAAAGCTATACATAATAATATATCTCGAGAAGTAGTCATAAGACCTCAAACCAACTCAAAAACCTCTAAGCTTGTTTTCTTTATAAAGTTTGTATGTGACTTGTATGCATCTCTAACCAAAAGATTGATCTTTTTATAGTAAACATTTCATTAAGTGCTTATTAAATATAATATAAGTTATAAAACCTTTGAGTGTTAAATCATTATTAAGAAGACTTTTGAGATGTATTAGTTACAAGATGAGAGTTTCAAATGAATGTGGTTTAAGCAAAAATGCTTCTATATAGTCTTGGGAGTTTCAAATAAATGAGGTTCAAGAAAAAAAATGTTAGCTTTATAAGTATGTATGATATATATATATATATATATATATATATATATATATATATATAGAGAGAGAGAGAGAGAGAGAGAGAGAAAGAGAGAAAAAAAAGAGAGTTAATATCATATAAAATCAACACATAAACCATATATAATATTCTAATATATTAGTAATATGGAAATTAAAAAGCGTCAAAGTGTTATCACAGTTCAAGTCGTTCGTCATTTCTAAATATAGAAAGAAACGAAAAAGAAAAGTTATCATTCGTTGCTTTATAGTTTTTAATTAATTAGATTTGTTATTTGGATTTATTAAAACAAAAAGTGTAGTGGACGAATTAAAAAAAATACATATTTAATATTGAAATAGCCTAATCGGTTTTTTCTTTGTAAAAGTAGCTAAATGTGTACAAAATTGTAAAAACGGGTTTAGCTTTTCTATAGCACTGATGAGCTTTGCAGTAAATATCGGTTAATAGCACTAATAATAGTGACAACGCTATTCGTAAATGCTATTTCAAAATAGCGGTTCAGTACCACCGCAAAACGCTATAGCACCGTTATAGCATGCTCTTGATGACATAGGCAGTAACAGACAATAAAAATAACACATTATACGTGATTTTTAGGAATAAGAAATAGAGGGAGGAAAAAGAGATTTTGTGGCTCTATATTGCTGCCACTTTATTCAAAAAAAAAAACATAAGGCTTTTATAGGCTACAAAACCTAATGACTCTAAACATAAACTAAGCCTATGTTTCCTAATTTTAATCACCACATCTAACATTCTAAATAGCCCAAAGACTAGTTCCTAACATGTCCCATTCCACCTAATTATTTAACACATTAAACAAAACAAATGCTAAAATAAACTTAAATCAATGTCAAGATTAAAACCTACATTCACGCCTTAATCTTGACTCGTTTCTTTATCAAAGCAATGTCGGTTCATCCTCGTGGATCAAGGTTGCTTCTTTGTCATTATACTTTGTGCATCCATAACTAAAATGCAAAACTCTTCACAATAACAGCATTAAAATCCAATTTTGTCACCTCGACCTCTTCCTCTTCCTTTAACACTTCCACCTCTTTCAAAGTTTTCTTCCACGTCCTCTACTATGTCCACTACATTCACTATACCTATTTTCATTTTCCAGCATGAGTTGATCTTGCTCTTCCTTTTTTTCTTCATGACTTTCAATCCTTTCTTCATAAGCATTAACCCTTCCAACTGCTTTTTCAAATGACATTGTTGCAAGATCAGAATATTGTTCGATGGGAGCTACAATTGGCAAGTACTTCTTTGGAAACGAACTGAGAAACTTCCTTACAATCACCTCCTCTTCCAAAGTTGGGCCAAGACTATTGAATTAGGCAACAATACCACTTATTTTTCCCGAAAAGTCATTGATTGACTAACTGTCCTTCATCTTTAGCATCTATAATTTGTTTCTTAAGGTTTGTAACCTTGCCTTTTGCAGCCGTTCGACTCCTATATACTGAACCTTGACTGATTCCCAAACTTCTTTAGCACTCTTGTGGTTAGCAACCTACAAGATAACATTTTCTGGTAGATTTTGGGAAATTATACCTTTAGTGGTATAATTTTTCTTCTCTTTAACCACATCCTTGATCGCAAGTCCAAATCCTTCAACTAAATCCACTAAGGGATAAAAAAGACTATTTTGCACTTCTCATGGTCCAAAACCCTAAATCTTGACCAAAGGTAAAAAAATTCAATGAAGTCAACTGCCCAGTGCGTACGCTGGGCGTACTCATCTTTATGTGGGGCGTACAACGAAATCAAAACCCATCAGGGATGGAACTGACCATATAGCTAGGAGTATGCCCAACGTACTCTGTTTGCCTCTACTTTCAGCAGCTTTGTGTGTTAATCTCTTAAGACAACTAACCCAACCACAAATCTGGCTATTCTAAGATGTCTAAACCCATAAATTCGTTGGCTTTAAGCATTTGCATGGCTAGGAAGGACCCAATGCAACAATCTTTAACTTCTAACACACTCTAATCTACTTTACTCATGCATGAGCCAAAAGGAATGATCAAGCAACCATTTTTATAAATATATAGGTCCTAAAATGCATGGAAGGACAACTAAAATTCCCTGTAGTGCTCCAAACTCATAAAGGTCCAATCTAGGGGATAAAAGTTCATAAAAGTACTTCAACCATGAAGATCTAATGAAAAGTTGTCCAAGGTATAGTCTTTATATCTGAAAATAATTCACAAAGAGGAAAAGTTTCTGGATCTACAAGCTTTCTATCAACCACTACTTCCTCTCCAGTATCCCTCTTTCATTAAAAGCATCAATAACACTAAAAAAGCTTGCAAAACTCACACAAGCAACTCAACTTGGACGTAGGGTTTAAGGAGGGCTTGGTGACTGATAAGGATGATTAAATGAGGACATCATGTTCTTTAAATAGGGAGCAACCCTTAAAATTAGGGTTTGAAGTCTGAGCTAGTACGCCCGACGTACCAGACATACGCCCAATGTACCAGTTGATCATTCGCGTTCCTAAGCTTCATGAGTACGTTGTGCGTACTCTTAAGTATGCCCAACGTACGATTAAAAGTGCAAGCCTTTTCTTCAAGGGACTAAATGTGCCACTTTTGACAAAGATACAAGAAATAATAAAAATACCTGATATCGGGATGTTACATAATCAATATTCCTTTTCTTCCCTGTCCAGTTTGTTCTCTAGTAGCGAAGCAACTTGATCACTTTTTTTTTTCAGGCGTGAATTTACAGCAAGAACGTGGAATGCAATTTTTAAATGGATTGAATTCTACCCAAGGTTATAGAAAGTTTGTCATGGCGCGCCATGTATCCAATGCTTGTATGTGCTGCAAAGTTTTACCAAAACGCCATCTTGACTCATATATATGTATAAAAATAAATAATAATTGAAAATACATATAAAAATATGAATTATATACAAAATTATCGCCTTAAGTCACGCCTTACAAACGATGTGACTCGCTAAGGCTCGGAAAAGTTTGAGGCTTGACATTGTCGCCAAGTCACGTCTTACGTTATTTAGAACCTTGATTCTACCATTTGAATGTTGATTTCATTAGTTCGTTGTTTGAAGCTATCGATATCTCCCCCTTTTCAACGGAAAAAATAGTAGCTATTGACACTATTGTTTACATCACCCTTTGGTATTTGTTGCACTTTCAAAACGATCAAGCTTTTAACAGAAAGAAGATTATGAAAAATCAAATTTTTGATGTGATAAAGGAGTTTTCTTTCAATTAGTATTGTAATATGAATGTTAATTGCTCCAAAATTTGAGTTTGTTGCCTTAGACAACCTCTCTCTCTCTCTCTCTCTATATATATATATATATATATATATATATATATATATATATATATATATATATATATATAAACTTGATGTAATTGTTTATAAAAAAAATCCAATTACAAACCAAATCGATTTAAAGAGAAAAAAATGATTTCGGTTCAAATTTATTGGATCATATCACTTCTCCTCCGGAATTGCCCGAATTACCCCCAACAATATTTGTTATAATCCTAAATGAGTCCCCATTTCCCATTGATGCTCAGGCGAGAGTGCTTTGGTTGTTCCTTACACAGTTTTAGGGTGTATCAGTCGCCATTGCCACTTGGCTCTCACACTTACAGGGGGTGTTTGAGATAATGTTTTAAGCTAAAAAGTCTTTTTTTTAGAAAAGGAATTTTTAATTTATTTCGTTTTCTAAAAGAAAGTTTTAAAATGTGTTTATATAAAATTTTGAGGGTACAAAGCAAAAAAAGTCAAAAATTATTGACTTCTTAATCATCTTTTTTTTTCTTCTTTTCAAAAAGCTAATTTGAAAAATATACAAAATAATTTTTAAAATTTTAAACTTCTTGAAAGTTAAAAAAACCACAAGGGCAAACATCATCGTAATCAACTCTTCTAATAAATGAAACTTAAAAACGATACGTATCAGCTTTTTAAAATGTCTTTTTGACACTTGATTTTTTTCTATGCATTTTATTATTTTCTTTTTTTGATAACAAATAAATTCAATTCAAAATTTGAAAATATAAAATCATATTATAATAATATTATTATGTTTGTTTTGGTTAACAAATTAATTCATAAATAATTACGATTGATAATATATTATTATTATTATTTTTTTTAACATTTATTATTCTTTTATCCATACAAAATTTTTAAATATACCACCATGTTTGTAGGGGTTATAACCCTAGTATCCATTAAAAAGAATGCCAAACATCCTCATAATTTCCCTAAAATTCTCCCTAAAATTCTCCCTCTAGAAGTTTCAGTTATTGCTGTTATGTAAATCTGAATTACTCTGATCAGTGCTGTTGTTATGATCGGTATAGTGACTGCGTTATTATTGATTCGTTGTATGGTTTTCTGATCGTGCTAGGGTTATGCATGAAATTAGGATTTTATTTTTTTAATTTGCCGAGGACGAGGCGGTTTTTTTTGGAAGGAATTATGGATAGTGGATCCACCGCCCGGATAATTACTATTTTCTGTTTATTTGACAGCAAGAAGACAAGGAGATGCTGTCTCAGCACACGGAGCCACGGGAACCGGTGCAAGTTGATGCATTGCTCAATGGTACTCAGCCTATGGAAGGTTGTTGCCTCCTTTATCCATCATGACTCGTTTTTTGTTTTGAAGTCTGTTTGCTTCCTTTAATTATCATGAATGGTCCAAAACCTCCGGTTAGCTATTTGCTCTTGATGTACTTTTTAAAGGACTAGGTTTTCCCTAAGTTTTTTCTTTGTTTTTTCTTTATAATATCCAGTCGTTCTAAAAAATTTTTATCACGAATGATTCTTTTTTAAACCTTGTTTCAAGAATGAAAGAAATAAACGAATTTCAGTTGAGGCTGGGAAGTGTTTGTTTGCATGGTATGAACGGATAAGTACACACCGGGTTTGGTTTATTGAACCAAGAACTTCTTAACTAGCACGTGCTGCAGTCTTTGGCCTGCTGTGTTCTTATTTGGTTGTTTAGATGTCGGTGTAGGCGATGGTTCATCTAATATGGCGAAAAAGCGGAGAATTGTTGAAGTAGTGGATGAAAACTTACAGCTTGAGCATGTGAAGCCTTTTATTAACAATGTGAGCCTAGTCAATAAAACGGGTCCTCAATGGTCTCGTGTCCTTTGTGGTTCTTTTACTGTGGAAGAGCAAGAGCCGGACTTTTCCTACTTTAATGACAGAATTCGTAATCTGTGGAAAGCACACGACATTGAAATTGAATATATCATGAAGAAGCTTAAGGGTTTTTATATTTTCATATTCAACACTGATGAAGGTATGTTAGATGCTCTAGAAAAAGGACCATGGACCATCGATGATGTCCAAATTGTTCTCAAGAGGTGGGGTCCGGGTCACTTTCTTGACAAGCATAAAGAAGATAAAAAGAACCCTGTTTGGATTCGAATGTATGACATGCCTTGCGGGTTGTGGAAGCTGGATGTGGTGAAGATCATGTCTAGCATGTTTGGTATTCCTATAGGCGTTGATGTTCATACAAGACATATTTGTGAGATTGGGTCGCATACAGCTGAATATGCTAGAGTTTTGGTTGATGTTGACACAACTAGAGATCTGGTTGATGCGATTTCTGTTTCATTCCCTAATAGTAATGGATATCTATTGTCCGATCTTCGAATTGAGTACCCAATTAGTAGGTGTTCTTTTTCCAAGGCGTTTGACCATACTGATAGAAATTGTGTTGGCGCGAAGGACAAAGCCAACAAGCTCAATGAGGTATGTTTTCTCATGCTCTTGGCTGTCTGTTCATACAGTTGGTACCTGTGTTGTCCAGTATTTTTTTTCTTCTTCTTTTCGGGGCATGGGATCCAAAGTTTGAGTTTTTTTTCTTTTTTCTTTTCGGGGCATGGGTTCCAAAGTCTGAGCTTGTAATTATCTTTTTCCAGATGCATTTGAAGAAAGAACAACAGGACACTATTATCAAGGTGAGGTGGTAGATGATTAGTGATGGAGATATCATCTATTTCTTTCATGAATTTCGTACTAATAATCATCATTCATTTAAATTACATGTGTAGGTTGCGGTTGCTCATGATCAAGACCTGGTTGAACAGATAGGGAAGGATATATATTTTGATCTTGTCGACCATAACAAAGTTTGGAGCTTTTGTGTAGAGAAGCAAATGCCATTTAACAAAGTGAAGGTATTTCTTATATATATATATATATATATATATATATATATATATATATATATATATATATATATATATATATATATATATATATATATATATATATATATATATATATATATATATATATATATATAATAAATGTGTTATGGAATATCATGGATTAATCTTACTGGCCTGCAGGAAGAGGTTGCTAGAGCATTTGGTGTGCCTGTTGAATGTCAACGGTTCTGGACATGGGCAAAGAGACAAAACCACACATACCGTCCTTATAGGCCTTTAACACGCCTAGAGGAAACAAAATCGGTACTTCTTGGTCATTTTATGAAAAACATGGTCTCCAACTATTCTTAAGTTTTTGTATCCTTTGACATTGACACTGACAACAACAGGTTGGGGAGTTGAGGGTGGCTTACAATAAGATTGGTAATGCTGAAGCTGAACTGAATTTGTTCTTGGAGACAACTGTGATTGGCCCGGTAATAGTGTCTTGATGCTTGCTTGATTCTGGCATTCTGTCCTTGACCTTTTGTTCAGTAGTTGTAAAAAAGTAATGTCTGTCTGGTTTTCAGGATTCGCGTCTGCTTCCTCCACCTCACATAAGCAAAGAAGATATACTTGTTTTCTTCAAGCTTTATGATCCTGACACGTTACAACTCCGGTACTTTCTTTCCACATGTTTATTGTCTTTTTTTGGTCTGGTAGTTGTGTGTTGTGATCTTCACATTATGTACTTTTTTCTAGATATGTTGGTAGGCTTTTTGTGAGGAGTTCTGAAACACCAACTGAAATTATATCAAAATTAAATGAGATGGTTGGATTTAGTCCGGATGAAGAAATCGAACTGTACGAGGTATAATATTATCTCTCATGCTCTTGCTTGTTTGCTTATTGCTATTTGTGAGTTGGTATTTAATTATGTGCACTCTCATCAGGAAATTAAATTTGACAAGTATCAAGAACTAGAATTTGGTTCATGTGTGATGTGTGAACGTCTTGACAAGAGAAGCTCATTTAGATCTAGCCAGGTATTATTAGTCTCAACCTTCCTATCATCAATAAGTTGGCTATATACCTATATGTGAAGTGGAACATTTTTTTTTTTTTTTCTTTTCAGATCAGGGACGGAGACATTATTTGCTTTCAGAAACTATCCCAGATTGAATACAAATACGCTGACGTTCCTTCATTTCTGGAACATGTAAAAAATCGTCAGGTCTGCTATGCTTAATCAAGAGCAATGTTAATTTTTTGTATTGAAGTATCCGTTTTTTCATTCCCTTTGCAGGTGGTTCGTTTTCGATCTCTGGATAGGCCTAATGAGGATGCTTTTATTCTTGAATTGTGAGTTTGACTTTCTCATTTGTGTACCTGTACCCATCACATGCCATTGGTACTGTTGACCAAAGTTATCGTTTTGAATGAATAGGTCAAAGTTGCATACATACGATGATGTGGCTGACAGAGTTGCTAAGCAACTTGATGCGGCTGATACATCAAAAATCAGGTTTACTCGTCACAACTATTATTTTAAAAAGCCAGAGTCCAACCCAATCCAGTATCGTTTTCAAGGACATTTACCAGATATGCTACGCCACTACATTCAGGTTTCTATTTATCTGTCACTTATGCCACTTTCACCAAGAGAATTTGGTTTGACGAAACATACTGAAGAATCCCTCTTTTTTTTTTTATACTATTTGGGTAACAGGATTATGGTATTATGTATTATGAAGTGTTAAACACCAGTCTGCCGGAATTACAACATATGAAAACCTTGAGGGTTGCATTTTACGATGCAACCACTACCAAGGAAGAGGTATGTTAAAATTTAAAATCTGCAAGTCTCTGTATTGTCGGCATATTTGCTTGGGTTTTGAATTCTTTTGTGGTTGCTTGCAGCTTGCCATTCACAATATTAGCCTGCCTAAGCAGAGCACTGTGGAAGATGTTCTCACTGAAATTAAGAAAACGGTAATAATTACTTTCGATTTTGATTAAACTCAACTTGCATTTACATTAATGTGAAAGTGAAACCACATTTTGAGTTTCTTGTATGATCCTTGCATTTCTATTCTGAAGAAAGAATTTTTTTCCCATTTCAATGTATATGTGCCTGATTTATAGTTTGTTGTGTTTTAATTATTCACGAGCTTGTAATTTGCATGTTTAAACAGGTCAAGACAGATGCTGAACTTAGATTGCTTCAATTACGCAGCAACATGATTTATAAGGTATGCATTGGATCAACACTGTTGATTTTGAAATCTTGATTTCCATCTTCTAGCAGAATGCTCAGCTCAGCTACTTGAGATTTGAATTAATAGCCAACACCAAGTTGAGATATATTTCCAAGTCAATTGTTCTGTGTTGATGTACTTTATTCTCCTTATATATTTTTTATTTTCTTTTCTTGTTGTCACACACAGGTATTGACACCGGCTGCGACAATTGAGGGTATAGATGACAAATACTGGACATTATTACGTGCAGAGAAAGTAAGCTCTGAGCAATTTTTATTTTCTGTCACGTTCCTTGATTAATAATACATTATCAAGTGTTGGATTGGAGAATTGGAAAATTAAGTATTAATGTTTACTTTTGTTTTGTTACCTTAGATTCCAGAAGAAGAGAAGGACATGGGAACCAGGGATCGGCGCATTCATGTGTACCATTTCACCAGAGAGGCTGACGTAATCTCCAGTTTCTTATTAATTATTCCAATCCATAGCGTGTTGAGCTGTTAATTTATCATATGGTTGGTTTATCTTGGATCTTGGATTTGCAGCAGGAGGTGCAAAACTTTGGGCAGCCTTTCTTTCTCGTAATTCGTGTAAATGAAACTTTAGCTGCTGTTAAAGTCCGCATTCAGCACAAGTTACAGGTCCCTGATGAGGAATTTTCCAAGGTACGTACTCGTTTCCTAAATGTTAAGTAGGTTTCATCATAATGACATCTGACTTTGGCCTACCTTTTCTCTATCAGTGGAAGTTTGCATTTGTATATCTGTCAAATGTCAAGTATCTACAAGATTCAGATATTGTATCTCACCCTTTTCTGGTTTGTAGTTTGACTTTGTCATGGATATATACTTGTTCATTTCTCATAGACTCATACTATCATCATCACCCTATTTTATCTGCTTCTTTCTAGAGAACAAGAGACAATGATTTGCTGCTGCCACCGTACCTTGGGTTGGAACATACTCGGAACACCAACAGGCTACAGCAACTTGGGTGCCTAAATTAGTCTTTCCTTTCCTATGTTGGATGTGGGGACATGTAAAACGGTTGACCTTGTTTTAATGTCTAATGCTGACCCTCGTTAAACTATAATTATGTTTCAGGTTTTACTACTTTTTATTCAACAAAAATCTATCATCAACAAACTTTAAACGTCTTGCAACTAGGGGATTACCCCCGTAACCTTAAAGTTAACTATACAAAAAAGTGCATGGTAATTTATAAAGTAAAATGGACTTTAAATATTTTAGATCAAAACAAAAAAAAAAAATATATATATATATATATATATATATATATATATATATATATATATATATATATATATATATATATATATATATATATATATATATATATATATATATATATATATAAAACCATAAGTATTGGTTCACTAAGAAACCAATTTTTTTTTTTCAAATTCTAAAGCTTTTTCTTTATCGAAAAAAAAACCTAAAAATATCTAAATTCATAACATAACATTGTGAATGTTAAATATATTTTTCGGATTCACCGTATGAATTTATATTCACATTATGAATTTGACAAGAATTTTTTTTTTTTTTTAAATTTGATATCATTAGAAAAATAGATAAAAAGGTATGAATTACTGTATTTTTTTTTGGTAAAAAAATAAATTTTAAATATTGAAAAAAAGATTGGTTCTTTGGTTCCTATATTAATTATGTTTTTTAATTGAACCTCACTCTCTCTCTCTCTCTCTCTCTATATATATATATATATATATATATATATATATATATATATATATATATATATATATATATATATATATGTTCAGGTTTATTTGAGATCATTCTAATTTTATAAGATCGTGATATCAAATCTAAAAATAATTTTAAAATGCAAAATAAATGGAAAAATCCAAAAATTCTTTTTTTTAGTATTATTTTCGGAATTTGAATTAACTAAAAAAATAAATAAAAATAAATAAATAAATCCCGTTTTTTTTTTTAAAATACGTGAAATATTCTAATACAATATTACACTGACATATTTTAAAAAATAATTTTAAAATGCAAAATAAATGGAAAAATCTAAAATTTTTTTTTTTAAATATTATTTTCAGAACTTGAATTAACTAAAAAAAATAAAAAAAAATCTCATTTTTTCTTTAAAAATAAGTGAAATATTCTAATAGAATATTACACTGTACATATTCTAAAAAATAGTTTTAAAATGCAAAATAAATGGAAAAATCCAAAAATTCTTTTTTTAAATATTATTTTCGGAACTTGAATTAACTAAAAAAAATGCATCTCACGGTCTTACAAAATTAGTCTGTCTCAAATGAACCTAACCATATATATATATATATATATATATATATATATATATATATATATATATATATATATATATATATATATATATATATATATATATATATATATGGGAAAAGTGAATATACCCTTAAGGGTATATAAGCTTAGGTACACAAACTCACCATACTACGTTATTTTATATCTTATATATACATTGTAATTGTCTAATGTTCTTATAATTCAACATCTAACTTGATTTCATTCAAAGATTTTCATAAATTTCATATTTATTTTCCTCTTACATAATTTTCATTTTCAACTATAGTATATATAGCCTAATTGATGTTCGTCAAAAAAATATGAAGTAAGAGGAAGATAATAACGAACTTTTGAAAATCTTAAAAGTAAATCAAGTTAAGGATTGAAGTTGAAGAACATTATAATAAATATATCAAACAAAACGACGTATTATGGTGAGTTTGGGTACCTAAGCTTATATACCCTTAAGGGTATATTCACTTTTCCATATATATATATATATATATATATATATATATATATATATATATATATATATATATATATATATATATATATATATATATATATATATATATATATATATATATATATCGAGAACATTTCTTATCGTCAAAAAATTTGAGAACAAATTTGGACCACACAATTTTTTTAATTAAAATTATATAAATCGAAAAATAGTTACAAACAATTAAAAAAACCCACTAACTAACACCATTCACCACCCAACCAACACCACTCAACCAACACCACCCACCACCACTACTTACCACCCATCACCACCACCTGCCACCACTACCCATCACTAACCACCACCCACCCACCACAACCACCACCCAAGACCACCACCATCACTACCACCCAACCATCTCCACCACCCACAACCACTACGTACCACCCATCATCACCACCACCCGTTACTACCCATCACCCACCAACCACAACCACCACCTATCACTTCCCACTACCCATCACCCACCACCACCCACCCACCATAACCACCACCACCACCACCCACCTCCACCATCCATCACTACCACCCGCCAATACCATCCACAACTACTACTTACCACCTATCACCACCACCCGCGACCACCACCCATCACTACCTACCACCACCAACCACCACCCACCACCCATCATTACCCACACATCACCACCACCCACCACCACCACCACACAACACTCATCACTACCCCACCACCCATCATCACAGACCACCACCACATATCACCACTACCCGCCACCATCACCTCCACCCACCACCCACCAAAACCACTGATCACCTCCCATCACAACCACCTGCCACCACCACCCTACCCATCACCCACTAAAACCACCATACACCATCATCACCCTCACCACCAACCACCACTCACCTATCCACCACCACTACCTATCACCTTCACCTGTCTGCATCACCCATCGCCACCGCCACCTGCCACCCACTCTAATCATGACCCCACATGTCACCCCCACCACCATTCACCACCACCACCAACTACTACCAAACATCACTGCACACCACCATCACCTATCTCCACAACCCGTGATTATATGTATATAATCACATGTGATTATTTGTATTTAATCACATATGGTTTATATGAACAATATTTGTTTTGTCCATATAAATCATGTGATTAGATACATATAATCTCATGTGATTAGATATATTTAGTCATGTATGCCATTATAGTGTTCGCAGTTCAATAATTATTTTTTGTTAAATTTAATCATATATGATTATAAGTATTTAATCACATATGATTAATGTGGACATAAATTTCTTTTAATGTTCTTGATTCAATAGTTGTTCTCGTGTATATAATTACATGTGATTATATATATATATATATATATATATATATATATATATATATATATATATATATTATCACATATGATTTATTGAATCAAGAATGTGAAAACAAATCTTTTTCACATATATCGTATGTGATTAAATATACGAGACCAACTATTGAATTAAAAACGCAAAAATGAATATTGTCCACATAAATCATAAATGATTAAATACATATAATCACATGTGATTATATGTACTTAATCACATATGATTTATGTGGACAAGATTCATTATTTCTTTCTCAATTCAATAGTTCTACTCATGTACTTAATCATATGTGATTATATGTACCAAATCACATATGGTTTATATTGATAATATTCATTTTTCATATATTTGATTCAATATTTTTTCTTATGTATTTAATCATATGTGATTGTATGTATTAATCACATATGATTTATTGAATGAAGAACGTGAAAAAAAATCTTTTTCACATAAATCGTATTTGACTAAATACACGGGACCAACTATTGAATTAAAAATGTAAAAATAAATATTGTCCACATAAATCATATGTTATTAAATACATATAATCACATGTGAATATATGTACTTAATCACATATGATTTATATGGACAAGATTTATTATTTCTTTCTCAATTCAATAGTTATACTCATGTACTTAGTGACATGTGATTATATGTATCAAATCACATATGATTTATATTGATAATATTCATTTTCATATTTTTGATTCAATATTTTTCTTATGTATTTAATCATTTGTGATTGTATTTATTAATCACATATGATTAATGTGGAAAAAGAAAAACTATTTAATCAAAAACGCAAAAATGAATCTTGTGCACAGTAATCATATGTGACTAAATGTACAAGAACAACTATTGAATGAGAATGTGAAAATGAATATTGTCCATATAAATTATATCTGATTAGATACATATAATTTCATGTAATTAAGCACACATGAACAACAACTGAATCGAGAACGCGATAATGAATATTTTCCACATAAATTTTATGTGATTAGATACATATAATCACATGTGACTCTTGCATTGTATGTTGGGCTAGGCCTACTGTATTTCTGTCTAGGCCTATTTGTATGTCGGACTAGGCCCATGGATCAGGAAGGGCTTGGCTCAATGTATGTTGTAATGCCCGCAAATTCAGGCTAGTCAATTTAGAGACAATGAGCATCAAAAATGAGTTTTTTTTGGAATATTATTTATAAGGATTAATCTTAACCAAGTTACAGTATATGTTAAAAGGGTTTCGTATATATAATGAATGTCGAAATCCGAGTTATAATGAAGAAGTTATGGCTCGTTGAAGTTTCGGGGCAAAACCGGCACGACCCCGAGAATCGTAAAAAGTGAATTTTTGATAAACTAATTTTTAGCCTTAGAGATCTAAATGAAAGTTATATTATACGTTAAACCGAGAACATACATAAAAAGAACGCCCAAATCTGACTTCGTATGATGAAGTTATGATTTTTCTAAGATTTAGCATAGTAGTGCACAACCCAGAATTCGAATTTTAGTGCGAGCGTTTTTTGGCCAATGCAACCTAAATTAGAATTGAATACATCATTATTAGTAGTTCAACGATAAAAAGACAGACAGAAACAGAGTCTGTATATAGAAGTTATGAATTTTATGAAGTCATTTAACAATATAATATTCCCATACTGTTAAATTTAAAATCGGTCGAGATTTAGTCGACGAAGTCAAAAGGAAAGTTGTAGATCTTGTCTTTATCTACGCGTGGATATAAAGAACGTCGAAAATGGAACTTGTATGCGAAAGTTACGGGGTTTAGAATTCGGGAGTGTGCTACTACGAAGGGGGTGACATGGCGCGATTTGAGTCATTGCTTTCTTCCCAAGTCTTGCCACCAGATGGTGACATGTGGCACCTAACTCGATGAGTTGGAGGCCCA